GTTTGTATCTGCAGCCACCCAGGGAGTACATGGAGGGGGTGATCGGATTAGTGGCCTCACTCGAGGGCATGGTCTTGCGGAGAGAGGCGCAGCTGTCTGTCATGGGTTTCCAGGAACTCTTTAGTTTTCCCATTTTTTATCGTACTTCTGACGACGTGTTGACTTTGGACATTTTACTGCTTTGATTGATTGTAGGTGTAGAGCACATCTGACACATCACATTCCTATACTATATCTGTATGCATCCTCATTTCATGTAGTTTGCTTGCATCTGTATCTGATACACACATTTTGTGCTGATGTATTCAAATTGCACTCTTTATTTTCAGATGCCTCCAGTATATCCGCCACAGACCGGGCCACCTGGGCCTTCTCGGGGAGCTGGGCCATCTAGGCCTTTTCACGGAGCTGGGCCATCCAGACCTTTTTACGGAGCTGGGCCATATAGGCCTTTTCACGAAGCTGGGTCATCCAGGCCTTTTCGAGGAGCTGGAGGGGGGCCGTCTCGTAGGCGTGGGGCACACATTATAGAGGAGGAGCCCAATGAGGATGAGGAGGAGGAGGCTGCAGATCGTCAGTCAGAGACATCAGCCGACAGAGAGGACGGCTCCGGTCTCGATTCCAGGAGTGGAGGCGAGACTGAGGGGGATCCCGAGGGTGACGACTCTGATTCAGATGATGACGACGGCGATGGTGGCGGAGAGTCTATTCCGCAGAAGAGGACGAGGAGGGCCTCTTATTCCTGCTCCTGGGGGCACAGATGCAGCTGTTTCCTGTTTATTTATCTTTTTGCTAGTAGTTGTAGCACATTTGTACATTATCAGGCAGTTTCATTTTTGTAAAACTTGTGCCTTAGTCTGTAAAATGTTGTAACAAACGAGGCATGATGGAATGAAATAGCTTTTGAAAAAAAGTGTTGTATTTTAAACTTTTAGCATCATCGCATCATTTTGCACCAAAATGAGATTGAATGGAAATGTGCATTATGCATTTTGCCCAGTCAAGTAGTGAACCGACGCAACAACTTAACTTTCTAAGATATAACAAAACCTTAGCAAGTTTACAACTCGATAAGCAAAACGCAATAGTATTGACAACTCAAATAAACAAGACTTAAACAAAAATTGCTTAAACAGGGAGTAACAACTCAAAAACACGAAACACGACAGCTCGACAAACAACTCGATAAGCAAAACGACAACTCGATAAACAAAACAACAACTCGATAAACAAAACTCAACAACACAAAGTGTACTTCGGACGATCTGGGCAATCGGAACTCATCCAAAACAGAGGGAAATAGAGGCTTTTGACACACCCGTTGCAGGGAGATGCTTGAAACTTTCTCTTGGAGGGTACAACAAGGCTGAAGACACACATTGGAGCATGGCCGGCTACTTTTGAGAGCTGGTCGGCCATATTTATTGCAAGGGGGGCCGTCGGCCAGTTTTTGAAAAAGGAAATGGCCGGCCGGCCACTTAGTCCAGCAACCGTCAAATTTTTGACACTTGTCCCCTGAATAGTGTTTTTCCCTCTTTAAAAGCCTTAGCTCCGTGGTTCATGCAATTCACCTTAGTTTTGCACCAAAAATGGAGGCCTTTCTTGTTGATCTCGTCGAAAATCTCACAGCTTGGATTGCTACTTTAGATGGCTCGGAAAAGTTAAACTTTCGGGGCTTCGGCTTGAATGCACTATTCACGCTGAGCCGTACTCCGCTACACCTTCCCTTCCTCCATGTCGCGGCAAGGTTTTGGAACTCGGTAACACATGTCTTTAGCTTTGGCGGGCAAGAGGTATGTCCGACTTTTGAAGATTTTCAAGTTTTGATAGAATCTGAATGTTATGAAGAGACCTTGCCCCAGTTCCGCTTCGGCCACGCCCAGGCTTTGGGGCGGATGTGTGGACTCACCGCGCATGATGCTCGATCTCTGATCTGTAATGGGGAACTGGATATCCTCGGTCTGATTTATCGCTTTTCTGACGCTGGTGACCGCAGCAACCATTGTTGGCAGGGTCTCCGACAACACGCTCTTTGCTTGTGCCTGCTGTCTCGCTTTCTGCTTTCCCCGGGCTTTGGCGGATCTAGCATCCGTCTGATTGAAGTTGCTCAAGGTTTGAAAGAAGGAAAGAGTTGTATCACTATGACCTTGGCCGAGACGCTGATGGGCTTGGATGCTTTCCATCACTGGGAGACGACTAGATTTGCTGGGAGTCCACTGCTGCTGCAGGTAATGTTTCCCACCCAATCTTACATATGTATTTGCTCACATCACTCGGCCCTCAGGCTCGATTTTTCTCACAAAACCCTTGTCTTACTTTTCTCTCATCGTACATCTCTCTATTCTTTATTCTCTCATTTTTCATCCCTCCCCAGGTATGGTTGATGGACAAATTGCAGGTTGTGGATTCTTGCCCAGCCTATTCAGCTCGAGGCTATTTCTTTCGACAGCGTCTAGTCGACGCCCTTGATGAAGGGTGGTGGTTTGACTGGATGTGCAATTTGTCTGCAGATCGCATTACTTGGCGTTGTCCTTGGCTAAATCTCCCGGCAATGAGCTATAGCATGTCCTGGCTGATCGGGATCCAGTTGATTGGTCTGACCCACTGTGTGTTCTACTTTTCGTTCCGGTTCCTGCGCCAGTTCGGTCATGATCAGATTTTCCCGCCAGAGGGGATTGAGTACCCGGCTGCTTTCCCGGTTCGAGGTGCACAGCTTGCCCGATATGCCACAGCATGGAGGACTAGAGAGCTCCTGGCCCCTGCTCCCACTTTCAGTTGCACTTTATCTGACGAGTGCTTGGATTAGCTCAATGAGGAGGCGCAGATTGGGCCTAGCTTGGCATCAGAGGCTTCGACCAGCTCTGGGAGGGGGCGCAGGGATACTTGACTTGACTATGCCCCGGATTTATTGCTTTACTAGCACTTTCAAGTTTTCTTTATGAATGTAATAAAAAGCAACTTCGATTGTATGCAAGAGCAGGAGAACTCTGTTTTGAAATCAATGAAATTGAAGGTTGTGGTACTGAAAATTTTCGCTTTGGTCCAAAAATGGTCTTGGTTGTAAAGAGATTAATTTGAACAAAGTCAACGTTTATTAAAACTTTTCAAAACCATTTTCGATATGGATCAGAACTGGACACGCCTAAGATCTGTCACTGAGATGCACAATCCCGGATCCTAGCAACTGGAAAGTTGCCCCTAGTCTGAATAGTACCGCGACAACGTGTGATAACGGAAAGTTGACCCTAGTCTGAATAGTATCGCGACAACGTGTGGCAACGGAAAGTTGCCCCTAGTGGACATGCCTGAAATCTGTCACTGAGATGCACAATCTTGGATCCTAGCAACTGGAAAGTTGCCCTTAGTCTGAATAGTACCGCAGCACTTCATGGCAACGGAAAGTTGCCCCTAGTCTGAAAAGCACTGCACCGGAGATCATAACCGAACTCTTGAATGCTGAATAGACAAAGATGACCGAGGTGATCAAATGGACAAAGTTGATCGGGAAAAGTTTATAGCTGAACTTCAGGATGAAGTTGCCTACGTATCCTAAAGATGGGAATCCAGCCTTACGTAGTTCAGGCTTGGGTACACTCGAGTATTTTCACTTTCCTTTTACGCTCTAACTTTTGTCAAGGCTGCCCTTTGCGGGTTTTCGACCTTGCGAGCTCAGTTTTTATAATTTCCAATTTTTTGTGCTCTAACTTTTGCCTAGGTCGCCCTTTCAGGTTTTCGGACTAGCGAGCCTCTCAGGGGTAATATTTCTTTAACTTGTCCATGTTGATCAGTTGTGAGAACTCTAGGCCATCTAGATCCATCAGAACCACAGCCCCACCTGACCAGATCGACTTAATGATGTAGGGACCAGTCCAATTGGGCCTAAACTTGCCCCTTAGGTTATGGATGGGAGCTCGGTTGTCCTTGAGCACCAAATCTCCTTCCTTTAGATTCCTGGACTTAACTTTCTTGTTGAAAGCCCAGGCAATTCTGCGCTGATAACTTTGAACATGGTGCAGTGCTTTCAGTCTTCTCTCATCAAAGAGCATGAGTTCTTCAAATCTGCTCTGCTGTCAATCTGCCTCGGCTATCTGACACTCAGCCAGCACTCTCAAAGACGGAACCTCAATTTCAATAGGTAGAACAGCCTCCATCCCATAAACCAATGAGTACGGAGTCGCCCCAGTAGAAGTTCTAATTGAAGTTCGGTAGCCCCACAGAGTGAACGGCAGCTTATCTGGCCAGTCCCGGTAGGTTTCCACCATCTTCTGTAAAATGCGCTTGACATTCTTGTTGGCGGCCTCAACCGCTCCATTGGTCTAAGGCCGGTATGTGGATGACTTGTGAAAAGCCACATTGTATTTCTCCAACAAGTCAATCACTTCCTTCTTGAAGTGAGAACCGTTATCTGAAATTATCTCATTTGGGACCCCATAGCGACAGATGACGTTGTTTCTGATGAACTTCGCAACATGTGAAGCCTTCAACACTGCATAGGATTGGGTCTCAACCCACTTTGTAATTATGTTGAGAGACCAGACTCTCTCCAGGGATCACCTTACAAAAAAATATTTAAAAAATTTAATAAAAATACAAAAAATAAAAATGTAAAATTTTTTAAAAAATAAAAACAAGCAAGCTTTCTTTGAAATTAATGGAGGTGCGTTCGGAAAACCAATTATTAAAAGAAATTGGAGATTTATTTTTTATTTTTTTAGTCATGTTTGTGGCGGTGGACTGGGCTTATTACACGGGTTAGGAGGTCTCAGTGCACTCTCAGTGCACCCAGATAGATATATCTTCTCTCCTCCGTTGATCTAGCAAAAGCTTCCCACCCCCATTTTACTCTCTCTCTCTCTCTCTTCACACACACAGACCCACACTCTCTCTCACACTGTTTCTACGCCAAATTCACCGACTCGAACCGCTCAATCCACCGCAGATCCGAGCCCTCCGCCGCCAGATCCAACCAAAGAAACCCTAAATCTTCGAAAATTGCGGCAATGGAGGAGGCGCTAGAGATGGAGCCTGTCGCCAGATCCAACCAGATCCGAGCCCTCCGCCGCCAGATCCAACCAGAGAAACCCTCCAGAAAGAGCCTGTCGTCGTCGGAGGTCACTTCTCTCGTCGACTGTTGCTTGGATCTCTTGAAGGACAACAATTTTAGGGTTTCTCAAGGTGCTCTTCAGGCTCTTGCCTCCGCCGCTGTTCTCTCCGGCGAGCACTTGAAGCTTCACTTCAATGCCTTGGTTCCTGCCACTGTTGAGCGTTTAGGCGATGCTAAACAGCCCGTTCGTGACGTTGCTAGGCGCCTCTTGCTCACTCTCATGGAGGTTCGCTCGCACACTCCTTCTCTTTAATGCGTCTGGATATATATTTCGTTTTAGTAAATATGTGATCTAATTATTTTAATAGTTGAATTTCGGTGAATTGAAATTCGGGTTAAGTGCGTATAGGTATTTTTTTTAAAATTTTTTTTTTTAAATTTCTTTCATATTTGGAAATGAACTTAACTGAAGTGCACTGCTGAATAAATCTGTTGAATCAATGATTTCGAATCAAATCTTTTGATTTGATTTAAATATCTTGAATATTCTTTTTTTTTTCTTTTTTTTTTAACTTTCTCAAGTCAGCGGATGTTGATTTTGTCTGGTAATCATGTTTGTTTAATTCCATTCTTGTTCCACTATGTAGTTAATAGAGATATTTATAGTTTTAGACTAGAAACATTCAATTTTGATATTTCTCTAGTCAACTTACTAGGTTTTTTTGGATTATCAGATTTTGCAGATGTTGAATGATCCAAATCATGGTGTAAGGGAAGCGGCTATATCATGTATTGAGGTTTGTAAAACTTATGGTGGAATTGTTTTTATTGTACACACTACTGACTACTCGTCTAAACCTGAACTGTATTTCCCATTGGTCTTGATAAATATGAACTTTGTTATATTTTCTACAGTAACGGAGTTGCAAAAACTTTATTGCTCTTTTCAAGAATTTAATTTTTTTGTGTGTGTGTGTGTGTGTGTGTGTTGGGGGTTGCTTGAAAAGGGAAATTAGTTTTAATAATGGTGCTCTTGAGGGAGTTATCTGAGCCTCCAAGATTCCAATTTTGTTTTACAGGGTGGCAGTTTTTTTACTATTGATTCCTCTGTGCAAGATGGCTTGAAGGGGTTTCTATGACCAGACAGCAACGAATGAGTAATTTGATGAGACATGAGAGGCTATGCAACAAATCAAATCTGCGGTACAAGCTACCCTAAACATTGGACATTTAGCTCAAACTGTTCACTCTTTGTTCTGACGACGAGATGCTGCTTTAATGCTTCTTTGAATTATTAATGAACCATTTCCATTGTCTTCTAATTATAAATTTGATAATTAAGCCCCTGTCAAATCAACCTCTGCTTCTTCAATGGTAGAAGGATATCGAGCACCTTTCATTCCTAAGGCTTTCCTATAACTTGAGCTGAAACTTAGTAGAAGGATATATGCAAAGTTTGAACATCATATTATGCATTTAAAACGACTTTGTTAGTAGTGGTATGTGTTGTATACATAGGGTGCTTATAAAGAATATTCTATGAGAAGTTGTTTGGAAGAATGAGGAGGTAATAAGATAGTATGTAGAGAAGATTGCATCTTTTATTTTTAATCTGGATAATGAATGAGAGTTTCTGAATTTTTCTGCTCAATTATTCAAGTTTGTTTTGTTAGGGAATTTATCTGATTTTTGTTCCCTTCTCAGGAGATGTATACTCAGGCTGGGCCTCAGTTTCGTGATGAACTTCAGCGTCATCATCTTCCCACATCACTGGTGAGTATAATCTGTATGCAAAGCTATTTGAATCTGCTCTCTCCTTCCCCCAATAGTTTCAAGGTCAAGAACTCCTGAGATTGAGGTTTTATGTTTATATATGTTTCAATTTTAGATGATGATGTTTTAGTGTAGGATAAAATTTGAGCCTTACTGTATGCATTCCTACTTGTTATTGCCCATTCCTACTTGGTATGATGCATCGCATTACTGTATGCATTGATCACTTAAATTCTAAGACTATTAACTTACTGTATATTACTTTTGTTCAATGGTTTGAGTTTGCTATTAGGTTATGCAAAAAACTAAATTGCCTATATTCTTTGTGGTTGATATCCAAGGTTTGGAGCAAGGTTGGTGGATGGTTGTGGAGGATTATTGTACTGTTAATTTTTAGTTTATTTGTTTCATTTGGAAAGAAGTGGAATAGAGGGACATTTAGAGGGCTTAAACGTGTTCTTCAAGTGTTGGATGCTTGTAGCATGGCTTTTTTTTTCTTCATATATCAAAATTTGTTAGTGGTGTTAATCATGAAAAGGATACTTTTGTTTTCAGTTACTTTTGATATTCATAATTTTAGGGTAGTCTGAAAATTTGGCTTGGCCTTGGTCATGTGCACGGTTTTAATGTCAATTTGCCCCAATATATTATATATTATAGTTATATTAATTTCTTGTTAATTCTTTACTCTTTAAATAGTAAGGGTTTTTATTATTTTATTTCCTTTCCTGTAGTCACTTTTTGGCTTTCTTAGTGATTTAATCACTAAGTTTTGTTACCTATAAATATGGATATACATCATTTACTCGTTGTGCCAGAGATTTTTGAGGTAAGGAAGTTTAAGTTAGGGTTCTTAGATGAGCTATTTTCCCATGTTATAATCAGTCTTTGCGCTTGCTTATTATATGAAGATCCACCCCAATGTGCTCTATCTTTCTACACCAACAGATATATGGCAATGTGCAAGGTATTAAAATCTTCTTTTATGCTGAGGATCGTCGAATGATGCTCGCGATGTGTTATTGGATCCGGTCTAGATGTATGTGTAGCTTTACCTTACGGATTTTGCGGAGTGCAAAGCCCCAATGTTGGTGGGGGATATTTGTAGAAAATTCGTGTAGAGCACCCTCAGATCCTCGGGCAAACCTAGTGGGGATTGCTGTGCTATTTTTTCCTTTCATGTGCAAAAATTATATAATCGATTGCTCATGCAAGAATGCTTACAACCATATAGCATAATATTTTGATTGAGATCACATTGTTTACTTAGTGCCTTGGAGCTGAATGATACATGAAACTAAGTAACCTTAAATCGTGATAATTGAATTGATATAATTGATGATTGATTGTGATAGTGAAATTTGGTTGTTAACTTTGGTTTGTTCTTTGTTGATGTTCAGGGATAGTGATGTCACAGAGAAAGACCCAGTAGACCACCCGATAAGTCTACTCTGTGAGTATTATGCAGTTGTTCTTGATGACAACGTAAGTGTTCTTTCCACAGTTTTCATTGTCTTCATTACTGGTGTTTAAATAGTTGGTTTCTCCAAAAGATTATAATTTGCAACTGTTATCTATTTATTTGTAGGTCAAAAGGATAAATTTTGCCGAGGGGAAGATCTGATTCTAGAAGTAAGGAATTTGCAGCTTGATTTTTGAAATAGGCTCAAAATTGAGATCTTGTTGGAAATTTTTTATTTTTTTTATTTTTTGTAAGAGCATTTAAATATCCAATGTGTTGATTGGTGAATTTTAGATTTTATTTTATTATTTTGTTTTTTTTAGGATTTGGGTGAATTTTATAATTTAAATATGCTTTTATGAACATGTACAGTTTAATTATTCTTTGTAAAATATTGAATTTGATGGTTTGATCAATTTTTATTTTTATTTTTATTTTCTGTTATGATGTTTTTGTGAATGGAATGTAAATAATCAGCTCTTAGAGAGTGAGAGACGGCACCATCGTCGGAAAAAATAGAAATTTTTAATATTTTTATTAATTTTGTTATAGGTTTTACTTTTTGCGACGATATTATACTGTCCCAAAAAATAGAAATTTTGTTATTTAAAATAAAAATTTTATTATTTTTTAATATTTTTTGCGACGGCATTACACTGTCGCAAAAATAGAAAATTTCATATTTTTTATATTTTTTGCGACGGCACCACACCGTCGCAAAAAAAGACTATTAGCGACGGTATTTTTTGCCGTCTCAAATAACATTTTTAGCGACGGTAAAATAGGGTCGTCGCAAAAAAGTCAAGAAATTTTAAATGTTATTAGCGACTGCACGGTGCCGTCGCAAAAAGGTAAAAAATGCCGTCGCAAAACATTAGCGACGGCACTTACCGTCGCAAAAACTCTTTTGCAACCCCTGCATTGCGACCCCCCTCTTACCGTCGCAAAAAGTTATTTTGCCGTCGCAAAAAGTATTAGCGACGGCATTAGGAGTACTAGCGACGGTATTTTACCGTCGCAAAAAGTCAATTTTTTTGTAGTGATGGATTGATGAATTCCCAAAAACAATAGTTACCCCCTTCCCGTGAGGGTACTTCAGCATCTGATGCAAAGTGGAAGAGATTGCTTTTACTTGGTGCAACCACGGCCGCCCCAAGAGTAGGTTGAAGGTTGCAGGAACGTCCAAGACATGGAATTCAACGTTGTGTTGTCCTGGACCAACCTGAGTCTGAATTTTGACAGTCCCCATCACTTCCCTGCTAGTATTGTCATATGCCCTGATCACCTGAGTAGTCGGCACGAAGTCCGCGGGCTTCAACCCGATTGCATACGCTGTTCCGGCTGGGTAGACATTGATGGCGGACCCGGTATCAACAAGTACCACCGGTATCCACTTGTCTCTACATTCCACGAAAACGAAGAGGGGTTTATTGTGATTTGTGCCCTCAGGCGGTAGTTCTTTGTCTGAAAAGGTTAATGCCGAGGAACCTCCTCCCGGAAAAACCAGCCCAACCAGCTATTCTGGTGTAGTATCTATAGAGAGTTTGGCCCTGTCCATGGCAGATAAGACAGCTTGTTTGTGTACTCGCGACGCCATAAGCAGTCCCCAGATGGAGATGTCTGCTTGTATCTTCTTTAGCTGTTTCAGTACAGCTTCCTCTTCGATCTGCTTCTCTTTTTGCCTCTCGGCCTTTTTGTCTTTCCCAGATGTCTCGGGTTGGTCTAGGTGTGGGGGCTTGAAGTACCGCCCACTTCTTGTCATGTGATCAACCTCATCGAGGTACCAGGTGTCATCCGGTTGATTACTTCCCCAGTCTTCGTCTGTGTGGGCAAGACATAAGTCATCGTCTTCCCACCACATTCCGTTGGCATTCAAAAGGCACCTGTCTGGCTCAGGCATGTTTGTACTCACGGCACTTTCAGCCTGCATGCTCACAGCATCCTCCGTTCTTGTGCCCACAGCACTTTCGATCCCCTCATGAATTTTGGCTTTCCCGGTTCTCTCAGAACCCTGTTGTTCTACCTGCGTCAGTGCAGTTTGTTGCTCAACTTCCCCCGCATTCGCAATGCTTCTGTCC